ATAACCTTTTTTCCTACTCATTGTGTCTTTCAGGACAGATTGACGAGGAGAACGATTGGGAGCGGTCATGAGTATGGAGGCTTCTACTATTTCGATGCAGACATCGAATCAGCCTTACAAGCATCTGCTGCTAGTGGTCCGGAGAATGTGGAGTCGATAGCTAGGTTGCATTTGTGGCATGCTAGGCTAGGTCATTTACCTTTTTCTTCATTGGAAGTGTTGTTTCCCGAATTGTTTAAGGATATCTCAAGTCAGAGTTTAGTCTGTGAAGTATGTCAACTGTCAAAACAATRTAGAACTGTTTATCCAGTTTCYARTAATGAAATTCAAGCTCCTTTTGATTTGGTTCATTCTGATGTTTGGGGCCCTTCACCTATTGTTTCTATTGATGGCTTTCGTTACTTTATCAGTTTTATTGACCACTACTCTCGATGCACATGGATCTACCTGTTAAAAGGACRAGATGAAGTGTCACGGATAACCATGGCATTTTGCAAAATGATTGAAACACAATTTGACAAGATTAAGCAATTCCGATCAGATAATGCTGCTGAATATTTTGAAAAATCCTTGAACTTGTTCATGGAAGATGTTGGCATGCTACATCAATCATCTTGTGCTAATACCCCTCAACAGAATGGGGTTGTTGAGCGCAAGAATAGACATCTATTGGAGATAGCTCAAGCCTTACTATTCCAGCACAAGGTTCCCAAGCACTACTGGTCTCAAGCAGTACTTACTGCATCATATCTGATAAAACGGATGCCATCTAAGGTGTTGGGTATGAAAACCCCTTTCTCTGTTTTGTGTCCTACCCTTCCAGACTTTCCTCTTCCTCCTAGGGTCTTTGGTTGTGTATGTTTTATACATGTAAAGGATCCAAAAAAGACCAAATTGGATCCTAGGGCTATGAAAGGAATTTTTTTGGGGTACTCTCCTACACAAAAGGGTTACAAGTGTTATGATCCTGTCACCAAGAGAAAGTATGTCACCAGAGATGTGGTCTTTTGAGTCTCAAGCCTACTTTCAGTCTTCCCAGAATCCTCTTCAGGGGGAGACTAGTGGGATGGCATACTTCTGATTTGGGGTACTCTCCCTTCTTTTTTGTTCCTCTATCTACCTCGGGCCTTCCATCCTCTCCTTCTACTCCTCCTAGTTATGGCATCCCGGGTGAACCTAGTGAGGCTCCCACTGTGCCTGTTACCTCTCCTGATACTGCAAATGTTCCTGAGGGCTCTAGTAGGCAACAGAAAGATATAAGAATCACCTACAACAGAAAAAAAAAGGGGCCTCAAACTCATGACAGCAACCAGTTGGACTCAGATCAATCTGTCTCCGCAATCCAAGGTAATYCCAACACACATACTTTTGATTTGGATCTTCCTATTGCTCTTCGTAAGTCTATCCGCTCTTGTACTACTCGGCACCCCATTACTAATTTTGTTTCTTACTCACGTTTATCTCCATCATCCTATCACTTCTTTGTGTCTGCTCTTTCCTCTGTACATATTCCTTCTAGGTACTCAGAGGTTGTGTCTGACCCAAGGTGGAAAGAAGCTATGAATGAAGAGATGAAAGCTTTAATGAAAGCAAGGACTTGGSAATTAGTGGATCTGCCAGAAGGGAAGAGCACTGTCGGGTGCAAGTGGGTGTTCACTGTAAAGCATAGGGAGGACGGGTCCATTGAAAGGTACAAGGCCCGGTTTGTGGCAAAGGAGTTTACTCAAAAAGAAGGGATTGACTACAAAGAAACCTTTGCTCCAATAGCGAAGCTCAACACAATTTGGGTTTTACCATCATTAGCAACAAATTTTTCATGGGAACTCCATTAGCTAGATGTGAAGAATGCCTTCCTAAATGGTGATCTTCATGAAGAGGTATTTATGGACCCTCCACCAAACTACGACTTTGATAGAAAGGTGTGTAAACTGAGGAAAGCATTATATGGCCTAAAACAATCTCCTCGTGCATGGTTTGAGAGGCTTTGTGGGGCCATGAAGAAAGTGGGGTACACTCAGAGTGGTGCAGACCATACCTTGTTCATAAGGAGACAGGATAGCAAACTTACAGCACTCATTGTTTATGTGGATGATATGGTGATTACTGGGAATGACCTGGAAGAGATCAAAAGACTAAAGAAGTTTTTAGCTTCTGAATTTGAGATCAAGGACTTGGCCATTTGAGATCCTTCCTTGGGATTGAAGTTGCTAGGTCAAGAGAGGGGATCTATATATGTCAGCGGAAGTATGTACTTGACCTCCTAGAAGAGACAGGCATGATAGGGTGTAGACYAGCAGATACTCCAATAGAACAGAACCATGGTCTACAGGAATCAGTAGGGGAGGACTACTGTGATAAAGAGAGATACCAAAAATTGGTAGGGAAGCTGATATATCTATCTCTCACCCGACCAGATATTGCTTATGTTGTGCATGTTGTCAGTCAGTTCATGCACTCTCCAAAGATCCCTCATATGAGAGCAGTTGAAAGGATTCTCAGTATTTGAAGACTTGCCCAGGAAAGGGAATTCTGTTCAGAAAACACAATAAAATTGAAATTGAAGCTTATACTGATGCAGATTGGGCCGGTTCTGCTGGGACAGAAAATCAACTTCAGGATATTGTACATTTGTTGGAGGGAACCTGGTTACATGGCGGAGTAAGAAGCAGAATGTGGTTGCTAGATCAAGTGCGGAGGCTGAATATCGAGCTATGGCTCATGGTGTTGCTGAACTTCTGTGGCTTAAGACCCTTCTTGGTGAGCTTGGCATAAAAGCTGAGGGTCCTCTCAGGCTGTACTGTGACAACAAGGCTGTCATCAACATTGCAAATAACCCAATGCAACATGACAGGACAAAACATATTGAGATTGATTGACATTTTGTTAGAGAGAGAATAGTCTCAGGAGAACTCTGCATTCCTTATACTTCATCTGAGATGCAGATTGCAAATGTGCTGACTAAAGGGTTGCCTGCAACAAAATTCTTGGACCTTCTTGGCAAGCTAAACATGACTGACATCCATGCGTAGCTTGAGGGGGAGTGTTAAGTTGACTGATTTTATGTATTGTTGGTTCGGCTGATAAGTGTACATGTTAGTTAGTATTGGGTTTTAAATTGTTAGGTACTGGACCTTTGTTATTGGGCCTAAGTCTGTTTAGTGTTTTAAGCAGCCTCGGTGTCCCATCACTAATCAGGGGCATTCCAGACATTTCATGTAACATTGTATTGTAATCTACTATAAATAATAGTACTATCGACTAGGTTACTCAGTTCGACATTCACAGCACTTGTTTGCCTTCACCTCTCTTCTACTACTTCAACTACAACCTTTCAGCAAACACCTTTAACATCTTTTATTTTCTCTCCTAAAAGGTAGAGACACAGTAGAGAATGAAAGGAAGCAAAATTGGTCCAACAAACTCCTAAAAGAAAATTCTTCATTTTTATATTCTTTTCTTTTCTCTCATTTTCTTAGCAACCAAACATAATGTCAGAGCCCACTCTCTTTCACTACTAAGCTATACTTTTATTGGGCTGGGCAGCACATTTGATTTTGGTTGTCTCCACCATAATTGGCTTGCTGCTTGGTATTGATAGCTGGTAAAAACAACAGACATCAGCTTTTCCCAAGTGCTTGCACCTATAACAAATAATAAATTACTGATTGCTCGGAAGAGAAGGTAAACAGTGCAGTCTAGCAGACAGAATGCAGTATCATCATCCATCTCAAGTTTACTTGACAGGGAGCAATGCAAAAAGTAACCTTCAAAGAAAGCAATCCGTAAAATAAAATATATGGTAATGGAATGATTATCACTGAGGCCTGAAGGATAAATGAGATAAGTAAACATAAAACACTATCTTTAAATCAATTGATATCTTACAGTAAGCTACTGTAAGACAGTAAGAAAATAATATACTTGACTTAGTATGGTAGAAGAACAAACAAAACACCATAACTGCCTACAACAGGCAATACTTCATAAGAGAAACAAATAAAAATCAAACATTCCTCAATTAATCCACAAACTAAGTACACAAGCATTAGTAACCTGACTAGCTTTTCAACAGTTGAACCACACCAATGACCAATGTGTAATGGAATATGACACCAAAGCAAAATAAATAGCAAGCAAGCTAAAAGAAATAATCAAGAAAAAACTAATAATCATGGGGGCCTGGCAATTATAAAAAACGAACATTCTCTTTTCTGATGAGCTTGCATCCTTCAAGTGGACCAGTACTCTGGAAGACCTCTGCAAGAAAAGTCTCGGTCACATTGGGATGAATATTGCCCACGTACCTGAATGAGCATGACCTATCCCGATTAATAGGCAAATAACATGGAGGACACTGAACAAACAGTGAATAAGAATAAAATGTATGCAACGCTATGCTTAGCACTGCCAATCACTGCACGCTTATAAATCATAAGTTCAGGAGCTACATCAAAAGAAAGGATCCAAATAGATGTTCAAAAGAAAGTTAGCTCCTTTCATGAAATTATAAAAGGTAACACTCCAAAAGTTTTCTCAAGTGTAAGGACCTAGAAAAACCTGTTCAAACTTCAAGATTTGGGCCCCAAGAAGCATAAATAAAAAAAAAAATCTAAAATTAAAAGAAACAAAGAAAAAAAAAAGAAAACTGTTGCATAAAACTCACACACTGCGGCATGAAGATGAATCAAACCCAGGAGGCAGATTTCCACTTGGAACCGGCTCCATCTGCAAAATGTAAAAGCAAAAAGGAAGAAAATAAAGAAAATGACCCTGAAAGCCTAAGAGGATGTCCTAACAAAATGAAAAAAAATAAATCCCATAGTTATGAGTTATCCACTACAACCTGTCAACCTCTAGTCAATAACCCACATCCCAAAGGCAAATTATTAAGGGAAAGGGAAAAAAAAGCTGCAGTTGCTCAAAACTAAAACTAATAAATTCCTAATGCAATTCGAAACAGAAAACCCATACCAAAATCTCAATTCTATGAATTGGCAAGGATAACATAAGATAGCCAATAAAAGCGGGAGATAAACAGGGGAAAAAGGAAAAAAATAAGGCAACAATTTTATTCTAATCAATACATCTTTGCAGTCTGTGCAGGTGTTTTGCTAATTGATTTGTCATTTTCTTAATAACAATCACACAAACTTATTGATTGGGCAACTGATAAGAATCAAAAGGTACAAATATAACTGGACCTAGTCAATTGCAAATAATCTCAGTTTATGTTGTTACAAATTAGACAAGTAAAAACAAACTAGCTTCTTACTGGCTATGGATCTAAATCCATCATGAACCAGGTTTTGACTTTTGGCCTGCCTCAATTAAAAATAAAAAATGTCAATAAAAAAGACTTTTTAATTTTATCTCTTCCTACTTTGCTGGTCTTTCCCTATTTGTTCTTTGCTCTACTCTTGTCTTCTTATTTTCCTACCTATTTCCCTTATACTGTCCTATTTTTCACAATTTCCACCAAAATAAGTTTCTATGGATTTAGTTCAGTTACCAACAAAGACCAATTACTTGAATATCTTCTTATTTTCTTACTTACGTGATGTATTACTTGTCTTCACGGTTCATCTCATTTTAATTAAAGCGAGACTCTTCCTGTAACCGTAACACTATGGGATTTCGTTAATGTGCATGATTTTGTATTTTTTTTAACAAAAAATAAGTGTCTCATCAGTGTTTACTAGCATTTTTTTTTAGAAATCAAAATTATGCATATTTGCAAACATCATGTGTTTGCTAGCATTTTCCTAAGTTCTTCATTTAATGACATAGTGTTATATCTCATTTACATTGTTTGCCAGTGAATCAAGAATGCTGCGAACTTGAACATCTAATTAATTCAAACTAACAGAGAAGATAAGAATATCTTCAAGATTTACTGTTATATTGTTAAACTTTCCATATTTTGCTTGAACCAAGAAAATTTAATGAAAGCTTTCACATCGAATCTTATACCAACACAAAAGCAACTAAGAATATATACATGCTCAATGACTTCAATCAAAGTAAAAGCATATTCATCAACAGGATCTGAACAAATGCGACGAAAGAGCTAATATATCGAACCTGAGACATCGCGGCAGCGAGCACGGGATGATAAAGCTGCTGCTGTTGCTGCTGTTGCTGCTGCTGAAGCAACGCCTGCTGCATCAGGGCTTGCTGCTTTAACCTCTGTTGCATTTTCTAAAACCCTAGAACTCTCCCAACAAGGATACTGAAATCAGAGTAAACGATAGAAATCTTCCACGGACGATTTCAAGCTTCGCTTTGGAGATCAAATTGGACCAAACGAACAAAAAGGCATAACCTACAGAATCTAGGAGAAAATGATAGCAGAAAAGAATAGAAGCACAGGATTTATACAAGATTCTCCAAAGATCAAAGGAATAAACGCGAAATTCTTCTATGAATTTAATGGAGCAATAATTGAGAAAGATGAGGAGTTTGGAAATTGAAGCGGAGGTGTTCGATAGATCTCTCTCTCGCTGGTGGTGCGAGTAACTCCAGAGATACAACAAAGTCGGGGAAAGAGTTATAAGGTCCTTTTGGTTTTCGCGTGGAGATATTTAAATGTGGACCATAATTCGAATATTCGATAGCTTATTCCAATCTGACGACAGAGAAAGGCTTTTACCGTTGGGGACCCCATTCAAAAGTCCCTGCTTTCGGTTGAGATCTTCCTCTCATCTCATGGTCATAGTCTTACGATCGAGACCACATCTCCGCCCCACAATGCCCCACAGCACATGAGGCCAGATCTGCTCCTCACGAGGCGCCTCACACAAATCCTATCATGTATTGAAAACATCTCTTACTTATTAGTGGTATTATCATCAGGAGATGTTACTAATACATGACGCGAATGTGCTGTGGGGCATTGTGACTGCTCCTTATGAGGTGGAGATGTGAACTCGTTACGATCCATAACAGCAAGGGATACGTGGCAAAATATCAGATATGTAACTCAAGGCTCACTCATAAGTTGGTTAGAGAGAATCTCGAATCATTAGCTAACGTGAAAGATTGTCTCTCACACATCTACCATCATTATCCAATCATTAGACTGTTAAAGGTGTTTGGTGTTAATAAAAAAATCTTGGGAGAACACAGTTCAGCCCAGGGTCCGGATTCTTAGGCCTAAAGTACAATTGAGGTAGGTGCCAGTTTGAAATTAAAGACAATTCAAGGACAAACATTGATATATAGAGTGTGGCTGCTAACATTTTGAATGTTTATAGATTTGCAGTGGAATCCAGAAATCTGTAATAGCCATATCCATACTTTTCCGAAAAATCTTTATTGGTGTGTAGGTACACTCTTACACGGAGGAGATGGGATTGAAGTCTGTGACTCTAATGCAGTGAAATCAAATGTGGAGAAAAAATACTAGAAATTCAAAAATACAAATCATTCTCATACCAGAACGTGGAATGCGAGAGTCTCTTTAGTGAAGGTGGATAAGTACTGATGAGGGCAGATTTGGCCCTCCAGTGAAATTACGACATGTGGCACCTCGTGACAACTAGGCAAGCACCCAGGCAACAACTTACCAAGTTGGTCTCCCCCCGGGCACCGGTCTGGCTGGCCGGCGTGACCTGGCGTGACCTGCGCGCGGCCTGCGCGCGACCTAGC